CTGATTTTCCATAAAAGTTATACGTTATAAAACTTAATATTTTTATGGAATTTTTATATCAAATTTTTTATTGGGTGTTTATACTATCTAATGACATATTGTGAAGTCTTGTGTTTTTATATCTTTGGTTGACTGAGAATCCGAAAGCAGACCAGTTGTCATCAGACATTTCGTCATACCTGTAGACCAGCTTTTTTATTGCTACACGATGAGTGAAGGATGAATTAATAGATGCTAAAGAAATAGTTGCATATACGATAGCATGATCTGAAAAATCGTTATCAACTTTTTCTACTACTTGGTCGATGAGGTCTGGAATTAATGAAGATTTCATAAAAATGTGATCTATCGTAAAACGTCTTGTACTAGTTTCATAAGTAATGAGCTCATCATTCGTTTTTTGATTTTTTACGAGGTTTAGATTGTTAACCATGTGGAGATTATCGAACGAAGTGAAAAAAGCTTTCGATTTTGAAGGATTGGAAGATTGTGATGGATCGGCGTTGAAATCTCCAAGAATGATTGTTAGAAAATCCTTTTGGTGTGCGTCGTTTATTAAATCTAGAGCTTTTTTGTAGGTTTTGTCACGTAAAGTTTTATCGGAACTAGAAATATAAACGTTAATGATACGGAGTTTTAGTTTGTTTTTAAATTGGAAGTCTATCGAAAAGACACGATGGAAGAAGGCGGAGTGATTAAAAACATGATCGGCTAGTTGCTTTTTAATAAGAAAGCTAACTCCGAATCCCATACTTTGTGCGGAGGGATCAGTATTAAAAAAACGAACAAATTTATTTGAACAAATGGGTTTTAAGAAGTGTGTATGAGATGGATTTTTGAAATGTGTTTCTTGTAAGGCGATGATGTCTAAATTGTATAGAGAGTATAAATCAAATAGGGTTTGTTGTTTGTGTGGTAGTGTAAAAGAACGAGTGTTATGAGTGGCGATATTTATGGTCAGGGGCACCGTTTTTATATCTGGAGGTTGTAGCAGCATAATTATTTAAAGTAAAGTTCTGGGCGGGAACCTCTGTACCATCTTCTAACGCGATGACTACACCGGGTATATTGAGTTGAGGAATTGGAATTATATGTGCTGGGTGAGTGTCATCTGGGACCCTATGTTGGATATTAGACACTGCTTTGAGGGTAATATTAAGTTTTTCTATCGTGTCTTTATTGTGTTTGCATAGCTCTTCAGTTTCTGCGTGAAGAATTGCGATATGTTTTTCTTATTCGATAACTCTAGATTCAGACGTATCGACTTCTAGTTCGAGTGCAGCAGCTTTTTTTGGTGTGATGGTGAAAATGTTCAGGTGTTTTTTCACTTTGTCGAGACAGTGCATCGAAAAAGCAAGGTCATTGTGAATTGTTGCGAGGGTTGCAGTGATGGCATCCAATTGATTTAATATCTTTTGTGTATCCGTTAGTTCATGTGTAAGTGTTTTTGGTGATCGGTAGGGTACGTCAGTTTCGTCTATTTGTTCTGATCATGAACTTCTCGCGTGAATCGAATCATCAAGCAAGAATGTGTTTTTTAGTACTTTAGGTTCATTGAATCGTGTTAGAAATATCTAGTTGATTCTTTGTGATGTAGTGGTGGGAGCCAAATATTTTTTCCATTGATATAGAAGTTGACAGGAGAGGGTCTTTGTCATTGATCATAAGGACCGATTTATCCTAGTTGACTTGGATGCTATTAAGGGTATAGAAAGAATCTGCTATATTCATGATATTTAGGAGATCAGATCTGAAATTCACTAGCCAGAGGGTATCATCCATGTATGCCAATGCTGGGACGTGATTAGAAAAACTTTGTATATTACTTTTGAAAGAGTTTGAGACGCGACTACTTTCTACATATACTGCACTGCAGAAATCTTTCTTCTGAATAAATC